CATATTAAAGAACTCATTCAATATGGCTCAACTGCCCCTGAAGTATCCCAGGAAGCTAGCACAGATGGCTTTTACTGCTTCTGGATCTCAGCTAAGCAAGGTTTTTCACTTCTATGGCTCAAAAACTGATGAAGGTCCCCTTACAATGATAAAATGGCGTAGCAAAGAGAAGACATCTGGGTGACAAACTCTAGCTCTCTGCTTAAAGTCTCCAGTCTTGGTTTATCTGCCTATAAAGTACAGCTCAGTATCTACCTCATAGGATTACCACTGAGGGGATGAGAAGAAATAATGATGGGCTTAGAACACTGCTTGAGCTATAACTGCTTTTATCATTGTTACTGAATGAGCCTCAGAGTTTGGTCTCAAGAGTTCTTTATAAAATGTTCCACTTATTCTTCCATACTGGATCCCCAGTCTAATGCAATGTAACTTCCAGATTCATGAGAAGAACTGCAAATACTTGGTCTTCCAGACCAGGGCATATCAGTTGTCCCTAACCAAACAAATCATGTCTCCCAGGATTTACCCCACACACTGAAACTAGAAATTTGGGTCATGAATGATTAATAGTGTAGCTTTGGGGAACAGTGATTGGGTACATATTTCTTACTTTGATTTTATTTTACTGGATGACCCTGAGTGCAACATTGAAATATACATCTTATTTCCCTCAAGCTGGAAAATAGGGTCATTGCCTCTGCCCAGATTGGAAACCTCAATCCCTTCAGTATCTTTCTCAAAATTCCACCTTTCAGAAAACACTCCTTGACCAACCACAGACCACTCTGCTAGCTAGTCCTTCTCCTCCTCACTACAACAACATCCAGTGGCTTTCTGATGGTTTGTATGTGTTGTAGCAACAGCTTCTAAATCTCACCACACCCTTCATTCCAGAACTTTCATCTCAGAGTCTGTTCCCATGTCATCCCTAGCCCCACTTTTACCATGTACTGCCTAAGCCTTCAGACTGACCCAGTTCTCCACGTACATCAGAGCAGCAGAAACTTCCTGGCTCCTCATCCTGCAAAGACACCACTGTCATAAATGCAGCTTCACATTTAGGATAAAGAAAACTCAAGTTGGAGAAGACTTCACTCATTCCAAAAATGGAGGCCCTAAGTCACCTGTGGGTGGTGTGGGTGGGTGTGTTATTGGTCCACTCATGCAGAAGGAAAAACTCCTCCTGGAAAATGAGATGCATGTCGATGAGTTCCATCTAGCACTCAAGACACTTCTGTGAGTCAGAAGTGAAGATGCAAAGGCAGGACCAGGCCTATGAAATAACTCTTAATGTGACCTTCAAAACTGTCCTTTCAGTAAAGGAGGCCAATGATGATGACATAAGGCCTCACATACTGGTACAGATTTACGTCTAAGAGAAAGAAATTGGGTCTCAACTTCTGTAGACCAAGACCCTTAAAGAGGGGTGATGAACTACTGAAAATAACAACTGGAACCTCAGAGGATGGTTCCTAAATCTTCCTGCCAAGCATCTCACCTGCAGAGAGCAGAAGGGCTGCCCAACTGCTATCAAACTGCAGGTGTTGCAGAGAAGAAACAGGAGCATAACAGGTCTCCAAAGAGATCAGAGACACAGACAGACAAAAGAGGAGATGCGTTTCTCCATTCCAGACTTGCCCAGTGTGAAACAAAGGAGAGGTATGCATGCATATGCACACACTGTATGTTTTATGTTCACCTAGCACAAGTCTTCAAACAGCATAGGCTCTGTGACAGACAGGTGTCACAACAAACCTCATGTCAGATGAACAGTGAGTGTCCACTGTCAACATCTGAGCTCAATTCTAGCCAAGTGAACAAATTAGGAGGGAAGACTGGAGTGGATTAAAACTGAGAGGGAGCCAGGTCTGTAGACTTAGCATTTTCTGCAGGTGGTCCGCAAGTAATTCTGAGATGGAATGAGGAGGAATACTTTTAACTTAGTAGCTAGGAACTTATCTCACAGGATAATGTAATGTATTCATCAAAATTCATGTGTTCAGACACTTCAGATACCAAAGTTGAAACTGTGCAAACAAGTGAGTTGTTTTAAAATCAATTTAAAATGTGTTAAACAAGCAACGCACACAAATAATGTGATTGTGGCCCACATAGTAAGAGGAGGTTGATGTACATGGTAGACATTTGGGAGTCGCTGAGCTAGGTTTGTGAGGAGGCCTAACTTGAAGGATGTCATTCTATGGAAATACACAAATTGCTTTCATGAATTGCTGGTATACTCCTGACCTGTGCCTTCGCTCCACAGGTTGCTTTGACAAAGTGTTCTGCCTTTGTCAATAAACTGAACAAAAAGGAGGGTGAAGTATATGGAAACTATAGTGCACTGTCACCTACTGGTGACAGCGACAACAAAACCCGATCACATCAAAGCTTCCCATCTCCTGGCCCACAGCTCCTTGTACCTTCCACTCTGAAGCCCCTGCTTAGCTTTCCACAGCAGCCTGGGACCATCGCATTTCTCAGAAGAAAGTAAATGCCCAAATGCATTTATTTACTATAAAATACACATAGCTTTACATTAACATACACCACCCAAACAATGCACACACAGGCACAGGTACACATATATACATGCACATGTAGACTTTTCTATTGAAATGCCTTTTATAAGAAGCTAGGCCCTCTGCTAAAATCCAAGCAGCTGAAGATTGTAATCCTATTTCCTGTTACTGGGAGGAAGCTGTATTGCTTCATTGCCTGCACCCAGGACACAGCAGCCTGTTCTACAGCTTAGATAGGCCTACTTTCACACCTCCTTAACTTTCGGCTTCTGCCTCCTGTGATAAACACTAATCTCAGGCAAGGATCTAATTGATTTCTGCTCTCCTCCCCTCAGTGCTGTAAAGTGTGCTTCAGGACTAGGTCCAAGGCTGCTGCCACTCTAGGCTGACCACAGCCCAGCACTACTTGAAGCCTGGGGAAAATGACTGACACAGCCTGCCTTGTCCCCATCTGCACTGCACACTGCTTAGCATGAAACCTTAGGTGACCGGGCGCTCCTGGAAACCTGAGAAGCACATTACCCTGTAGCCTGATGCCTTATTCCCTCAGCAGATGGGGATGAGGTCAGTCCTGTTCCAAGTGTTCCCTGGTACATGTAGAGGAGCCCAAGTTCTGAGCAGACTATGGAGAGAATGCTGCCCTCACCCCAACCCACAGCAGATGTTCAAGAACATGGGCTACGATTAGAAGGGAAGCCAATGTCAGGGCACAGTCCAACATGTCCATGGCCTCAGACCCTTTTAGGAACTGACATGAAGGAAATTATCTGAGTAGACATGAACACATTTAAATATAAGAATGGTAACAGTAGCTTTACTTATGAAAGCAAAGTATTTGATGCAATCTAAATGTTGCTAACTCCCAAGGTGTGGCCTTACTATGGGAAATCAAAACATCTTAAAATGCAATGAGGTTTTGAGGGCAGAAAAGGTTTGATTTTAGGAAGGTTATGATAAGGAAGAAGCTTCTACTTTTTAATAGGATATAAACCTTGAGAGAGAAAACAACATGACACAAGGCAGATATGAGCCCTTTCCTTCCCAAGGTAAGGGGGTCGCTGTCCTCTCTGTCTCTGCTCATACAGATCAGCCTTCACAACCATAGGAGTTAGCATCACCATCCAAGCATCCACTGAGGACCGACCCTGCCACTGGCATATCCGACACGTGTTAACTTTCACAGTAGCCCTAGGCTGTCCAGCAGAGCTCAAGGCCTCAGTTCCTACCCTGCACATCTCTGCTTACAGAACAGGTCCAGTCCCTGATCTCTGCAACAATCGGAAATTGTGGCAAACCACTGTTCCTAACTGGTAAGAATCCAAGACAGAGGCTCACCAAAAGTCATCCATAGTCATCCATGGAGGCAGATTTCCCATTGGGGCAGTTTGGAGCTTTCTGCCAGGACATTATATGGACACCCTTGCTACACACTTCTCTATGAACATCGCTGTTGGAAGCAGGGCACTAATTCTCTCACTCAAGCATGAGCTCCTTACACACAAGGCCTTCTTCTTATATCCCCAGACCACGAAGGCCACAGAAATGTCAGCTGCATGTTGGGACCCATCTTGGTGTCTATGGGTAGCAGCCTATGTCAGATGCTGCAATGAATAATTTTGTTAATCCTCAGGTCTACCCTCTAGGGTGAGCACCATTATCCCTCCTACAGATAAGCAAACTGAAGATGAAGGAGGCAATGCTCTCTACTGTGGTAAAGCTGGAATAAAAACCAATATAGGCTGACCTCCAATAGATCATGAAGCCTTCACTCCAGTGATGGATTAACTGCTTACTCTTTGAACATTTACAGGTTTGTGCTATGCAGCTTTGGCTAGCCTGGTACATTCTATGTGGATCAGGCTAGTTTGAGACTTGCAGAAATCCTCTCCTGTTGCCTCTGCTCCCAACTGCTAGGACATACATTTCTTGTCACAAAAATTGAAACATGACTGTATACTTTAGAGCCTTGTCCTCAATTATTGCAAAGAACTCAGAAGTCTTGAGATAAAAAGGTTTGGTACCTTTGTGGTGATATTTCTCTTCTACTTGGAACAGAGAGGAGGTAATTCTTAAATTCAGTAATTAATTCTAAATATGTTAAGGTGTCAACACAGAGAAGAGTAAGAGTAAGCAGAAGGCCCTGCTTCCCACAGGCACATGCTAGTGGACATGTGACACCTCCAATAATAACTCCATACCAAGTTAGGGGAGGACTGGTTTCTATGACCTGCCAACAAAGGTGGGACCTCAAGCAGCACCAGAGCCAAGATCCTGCTATGCAGCAGAGAGAAGAGGCTCAGCTTCTTGCCCAGGTACCTTTCTCAGCAATGGAACCAGGCAGGACACAAGAAGACAGAGCCTTCAGGATACCAAAGGCCAGCAGCACACAGTAAGGCTAATGATGCCCATAGCAAGCTATGGAGGCAACAGGGATGTCTCCAAATATTATGCTGTCCCTGGGTAGCAAAGACTCACGTTTTTCTGTGGATGGAACAGCATGGAAGAGCGTCAGGGGCCTCTCGCTGCAGGATGGGGGCTTCGAGTCGCTGCTTTTCTTCCGGGACAGGTGTAGCTGGGCGTTGGTGAGAGGCACATCAGGTACCGTGTTGAATATCTGCACATCAGGGTGACAAAAGTTACACAGTTCTATGAGCTAGGAAGAAAGCTAAGGCCTGCATCATTATGACCAGGAGCTTGGTGGTGACTTAGAACAGGGAGGAAAAGCTAGGAAAGGCCTCCAGCATTTGTTGGCCTCCACAGAGACACTTCTATGAAGCAGCTTTGGGCACTTTCTCTAGGAACTGATCCTAGAGTTCACAACTCCTTTAAATCCTTTCTGATGTATGCAAGGGACTAAAAAGAAACAGAGATAAACCGTTATCTGCTAACAGTGAAGGTGTTTTACTGCCTTGGTCCAGAACCAATTAATCCAAATGCCCTTCCTTTCTTCACTGGGTCTCATCCCCAGCTATTTACAACTGCTTCACAATCTTATTTCAGACCATAAAACATATTTAAATTATGTTCCCAAATTGACACAGAACAGGGCACATTTTTCCTCCTTACCACTATCCTCAGTGAATACAACCTTATTCCTTTATCACCTCTGTGTTAACTGTGAAGATGAGCTTTATCATATTTCAAAGGACAGAGGCGGGTGACTGATACACATACACACACACACACACACACACACACGCATGTGCATACATGTACCAATTTGGAAAATGTACAAAAGTCTAAAAAAATAAATCCCTCACAGTTTCATTATTTGCAGATTATAACTTTTAAGGTTTTGTATCCTTACATGTTTTTAAAAATCATTTTGTTGTTATTACTTAAGACCACGTGGAGTAGCTACTCTTTTAATTGTTATGACAAATACCAGGTAGAAATCAACTTAAAGGAGTTTGATTTATGATATAAGGGTATAGTCTGTTATAATATAGATGTGAGTTAAGGATGTAGTCTATCATAGTGTGGATGAGAGGTAAGGGTGCCATCACTCACAGTGTGTACCTGAGGTAAGAGTGCCATCTCTCACACTGTGTACCTGAGGTAAGGGTGCCATCTCTCA